CCCTCTCAAAAATTGCTCAGGAAAAAAAAATATTTTTCAAGTGAGGGAAATGCGCTTCCGTATCATCATAAAGAAGAAACCAACATTTCGTCATGATCATGACGCGCAACGAAGATCGTCTATTCATCGGCCAAAACGAACAAGGATTTTGTAGTCCATGTTTTTAATTTAAGATCCGAGTCAGCCCACCTGCCAGCATATCTCTGGAGCTCGGACGACAAGTCGCTATGACTCCGCTGGCGAAGTCATTTTTGACAAGCCCGAGGATATTTTCAGCATGTTTACGACTTCACTCTTCCCTTAGCTGTACGTTTCACGACGTAACGGTATTAATTTTGTTCTTTTGTTGGGGCGTCCTGCCCTTTTTGGTGCTCTCGCGGCACCTCGTGCAATGCTATTTTAGCTCATATGCTAATAGCACTTTGTTGACGGAAGTGCAGCACATTTTTAATACCTGCTTAACAGTAATTCATATTATTTGTATTAAATGTAATACATGAACGACCCCCAGAATAATGTATTTCCTGGTCCCTTTCCCCCGCGAATAGCCGGGGTCAACTGTAATCATATTGTTAAAATTAACGTTTTGGTTCCGTATTTATCCCAATATAGCATTTTTATTTTAAAAATGCACGACATTCTTGGCAATTTTTATTGTCCTTGTTTTCATGCGTTCATAAAATACATATTTTGTATAGAGCGCAGATGAAAAGCAACTATATAATCACAATGAAACACAAATATCCAGTGGCAGCAAGTGTTCATGACTGGCGGATGTGTCTTTGGATGACTATGAGTTGAATGTGTGTCATATTTAATCCATTTGTTTGGTTTATCTTGCACTATGTTTTTGTTTATTTAAAAAACATTGCCCACCTTTAGGTTGTGTTTAAAATATGTCTTCCAAGTCAATTCCTTACACACCTTGCATTGCTTGTAAAAATTAAGATTTACTTTGTTTTGAAAGCCATGCCCATATCAACACATTTCATTGTGTGTCTTTAAGGATTCAAAGAAATAGGATAGAATAGAATTAATGCGACCAATGTTACTTTTGTACACCTGCTGTAAATGGTGAGAGTACATAAAGGTACAAACAATCGGCAACTGGCCGATTTAATCGGCCGGCCAGGCCCTATTTATTATGGTGTAAATCTCATCTAACCTGCCTGTCCTTCTGTGTGTCCGTCTAGCTGAAATGATTGAAAACATGGACAAAAAAGCTACCTGGGACCGCTTCTACGCTGAAAACAGCCGCAAGACGTTCAAGAACTTTGAGTGGTTCTTTGGCTTTGAAACAGTGCAAAACTTTATCATGCCTGTATTACAGACCATGGCCAGTCCCGATGCTAGGCTGCAAGTCTTGGATATGGGCTGCGGCACATCCGCTTTGGGTCCATCTGTTTACCAGCGCTGTCCTGTGCCGGTTCGGGTCACGTGTGGGGACATTTCTCCCGTGGCCGTACGGCTCATGCAGGAGCACGTGCGGGCTAAAGCAGTCCAACCTGGCAACTGTTCTTCCCAGCTGGACTTTGTGGAGCTGGACTGTACGCAGCTGCACAAACACTTTGGTCCCACCAGTGTGGATCTCATTGTGGACAAAGGCACCACGGACGCCTTGTTGAAGTCCGAGGAAGGGAAAAGGAGCGCCGGCCTGGTCCTGAAGCAATGTTTGAAAGTGCTGCGCCATTCGGGGTCTCTGCTCCAGTTTTCGGACGAGGATCCAGATGCCAGGCTGGTATGGCTGGAGACGAAAGCGCGGTCTGCACGTGTCGCAGTGCAGGAAGTGGGGGAATGCAGGGGAGTATGTTACTACTGCTATCAAGTGACCCCCCCTTCTCACAATTGTGCAACACTGACTGATATGTGACTGATCCTGGTTTTGCGGTGCTAAAAAAAAATAAAAATAAATAAAAATATCCGTTTAGCTATAAAGCATTCCCGGACATTCTTGATGGAAATTCATTGATGCAATCGTTGTTTTGAAGCTCTTTTATTGAGTTAACACAGTTCAAAAGCAGACAAATTAACACAAATTTGATTTAAAAAAAAAAGACCACTTTGGGTCACTTCAACAAGCTGCAAAGACGCTGTATTCAAGACAAGAGGACGACTAAATTAGCATCACGGTGTAACGTAGGATGATTACAGATGAGGCGAATGATTCCCTCGCACATGCGCTCATTTCATGTGGAACAAGCTGAAGAAGTCGACGGGCTCCTCGTCCAGCGCGTCTTGGCAGAATTCCGGAGGGTTGAGCTGGTTGGGGTCGGAAATGCCAATGACGTTGTTGAAGAAGCTGTTGGGGGGTAAAAAAAAAAAAAAAAAAAAAAAATACAGATAAGCCACATTAGCAACCCTATCGTCATAACAAATCAAATAACCTCATCAATGACTTGCCTTGTCACCATCCATCCGAACGCCGATGTTCTGTAGGACGTGGAGACAGGAATGCATCCAAATTCAGTCACGGTGACAAAGTAAGGCGCTGCAGGATAAAGATGAGAGAGACAGTGACCACACGAGAGGCTGCTGAAGATGATTTCCAAGTCATCCGCAGTTGCTCCCTCACCGTTGTTAGGAAGCTTGCCCGTCCACGTGTTGACGAGCAGACCCTGACCCGGGCCCGACGAGCTCCCCACGACGGCCTGGCCCAGAAGAGTCGAGTTTCTCGGGACTGCCATCGGGTGGAAGTCGACCCGCAGGGCTCTTTTCTTGCACGTGTGGTCTCGATGGTTAATCTCGTACATGACGGCCTGGTGGACAGAGGACGGTCCCGTGTGTGCTTTTCCGTTTTTCAAATCTTTTACCGTCTCGGGTTCAGTGACATCACATGGCTGACCTCTCTGTAGAGAAGAAGAGCGTCGTAGGTGAAAGACTTATTCTGGTAAAATCCCATTTCCTGGAGCCTGATCCTGTGTCCCAGTGCGTCGTACAGGTAGCGGGCGAAAGCCCAAAGCTGTTCGTTCTGCGTGGCCTACACAAAAAGATAAGATCTCAGTGAGCTCATTGAAATCCTTGACAACACAATGAGATGGAAAAAAAAAAAATGTACCAAAGAGAGTTGGCCGCTCAGAAGAGGAGGACTCTCTGTCGGGAAGAAGCAAAGCAAAGTTGAACACAGTCAATAAGAGATATCATGGAAGCAGTGGGAAAAAAAATCTCAGTATAGTTACCGCACGGATGAGGCTTCTGGGCCACGCATGTTGCCAGAAAGCACGCGAGCACAACTAAAAGTTTCATGTTTGCACGCCGTCGCTGCTCACGGGGGAACAATAAGCGAGTGAGGCGGAGTCACTTCCTTATAAGCGCGCACAAACTGGGATAAGGTTCGTCCTCTTCGTGCCGTTTAATTGCCACCTGCCTTGTAAAAACGGATTCCGCCGAGTCACTCATTTCAACTATTGAGAGTGTGAGTTGCTGAGTGGGGTCATGGGAGGCCAAGAAGGTCATGGGAGGCCAAGAAGGTCATGGATGTTGTTCAAGTGTGAACGTGGAGTCACATCGGTGACGACCGGGGAACAAAACTGCCCGTTTACATTCGTGGAAGTATCACAGCTATCACATTTCAATAGCTTCTCCTTTTCTATGACGGAACCGATACCATCCCACGCTTGCTGTTAGCTTCCGTGTGTTGATTGCAAGCTCGTGGGTCTGGTGGCTGTTCCATTCGTTGCCGAAGAAGCATCCCCCCCCAACCATTCTTTGATAACACACGTACTACGAGTAAAAGACACAACACTTCTCGCGCAGAGTTCAGTATCAGCTCCGGCATATCACAACACACGCAGCCTAGACACATTTGAGCCGCTCAAATTACATTCATGGAAGGACACGCTGTGCTAAATAGATTGCCTGCACCTGATTTATTCTCAACACAACGGACCTGAGGTCAAAGCATACATTTGGGTAAAGTTTAAGGGGAGGTTGGATTTATCATTATTATTTATTTTTACACCACCACCTGTGATGTTTTTTTTCTGGATGAGCATGCAGTCAGAGTCGCCATTTTATTTGTTGGAAATCACATGATGAGCAGGAAGTGTGACACAATGACAACAAGGTCAATCATCACTGATAAAGAAATCACATGACGACTAGTGATTGTGTGCATGCGTGCGTGTGTGGGTGTGGGTGTGGGTGTGTTATGCAGTACACTGAACATGTATTCAGGTCACATTCAGGTGACTTTTGCTCCGAGTTTGTGTTGGCCGGGAGATTCCTGGGAGCTCAAACCAGTCAGACCACAACTCAAAAGTATTTGTGAGGCTAACGCATAGCGGTGATAACTAGCTCCATGTTGAAAAACGATCCAATAGCAAGTGAACATGGATGATCCCATAAACATACATTCTCACATTCCAAAAACATGCATGGCAGGCTGATTGAACACTCTCAATCACTAGTTTCAAACTCGAGGTCCGGGGGCCAGATTTGGCCCGCCACATCATTTTATGTGGCCCGCAAAAGCAAATCAAGCATGTCAACTTCCATGATCTCTACCAAAATTTAAAATTCTCATATGTAATAAATAGGAGACATATCATCAGCATTTTCTTGTTACCAAACCCCTCATTGCACTAACTAAAATAATAGTTGAATATACCTTTATTATTGACTTTTTGGCGGCCCTGTGGTCCAGTGGCTAATGCGTCGACCTCACAGTGCAGAAGTACCGGGTTCAATTCCAGCTCCGGCATCCCTGTGTGGAGTTTGCATGTTCTCCCCGGGCCTGGGTGGCTTTTCTCCGGGTACTCTGGTTTCCTCCCACATTCCAAAAACATGCATGGCAGGCTGATTGAACACTCCAAATTGGCCCTGGGTGTGAGCGCGGACGGTTGTTTGCCTCTGTGTGCCCCGCGATTGCCTGGCAACCGGTTCAGGGTGTCCCCCGCCTACTGCCCGAAGACAGCTGGGATCGGCTCCAGCACCCCGCCGCGACCCTTGTGATGATAAGCGGATCAGAAAATGGACGGATGGATGGAACCTCACATGTGAGCAATCTTTCATCACCATTTTTATTGATTCGAGCGTCAGTGTTAGAAACAACATCAAGGAAGGCTTGAATTTCTGATGCTTCACTGTGACTGTTTGGGCACCGGCGGCAGGTTGAGGAGCCGGCAAACGCTGTTGCACTCCGGTCCGTGTTGCTCCCGCAGAAAGGAAGCGATGCCCCCGTGGGCGAGGTTGGAAGGGCCGCGGGGGGTTCTGGTGGAGTGTATCTGCGGGTCGGTGAGGTACGTCAGCCCTTTGCCGTTGGCCGTCACCCACCCTGGGAGGACAGCAAAAAGTATTTGACGTTTTATAACTTCAAAAGTCCAGCTTGCGCCCCCCCAACAGACCTTGCAAGTCCACGACGACGTCCTGGCCGTTGGAGTGCAGGTAGGTGAAATGTCCGAAGGCCAGGCCGTATTCCGTCGCAGGGAGAGCGTCGTTCTTCTTTTTGATGTTGTTGGTGAGCTTGACAAATTGGCCTAGCATGTAGGGCTCCACGGTGATGCAGCCCGCGATGACATCTCCATCCAGAATCTGCTCGCCGGCACAGAGGAGAAGGCGCGCTGTTTTGCGTGACGTGCGTTCCGGGAGTGGTTTGGGCTTACCAACAGCGCCTCTGAGGGCAGGAAGAACATCTGGGCCATGACCTCCTTGTCGTAGAGGCTCTTGTTGAATTCTGTCACGTAATACTGGGCCGTCATTTGCCTCTCCACGTCTCTCAGGTGAAACTGGATCTGCGTCGGCTTCCGGTAGTCCTTCCCGACGTAACTGCGGATCGGCACAAAGTCAGATATCATTGGCGAGACGACCGGTGTTTTGTTTTCTCTGCACACCTGCTCAGCCGTTCTTCCTGGTGTAAGAACTGGACCCAGATGGCGGTTCTGTGGGTGCCGTGCAAGCCCATCGACTCGCCAATATAGGCACAGGTCTCCCTCGCGGTCCATAGTCCCGAGGCTTTGGAGAACTTTAAATGTAGAGCATCTGGCAGAGGCGATAATCGTTGCGATCGGTGGGATGGCGTGGACAGAGCAACGTATAACGTTCGGACTTGAAACTTACTGTGGGCCGTGCCGTACTGCTCAAGTTTGAACTTCTTGTCGCTGCTCAGTCTCTTCAGCAAACATTCGTGGCAAACCCCAGCCAGGAGGCTGCGGTAGTCCTCCGGGGACAAGTCGTACTGCCTCAGCGGATCAACCTGAGCCAGGGTGTTTCTCTTGAGACAGCCGTTGCACCGGGGGTTCAAGGTTTGAGGATCAAGGATCGATTCCTCCGGTGTCCCATGAGAATCTTCTGTAGAGGGTTCTGTGGTGTTGCAACTGCCGGCATCGACTTTAGGGGTCTCGAGAGGTTTGGGCAGGCCTAGGAATTCCCATCCGGAAGCGGGGTCATATTCTGAATCGCTAACTTCGCAATCTTGCGTTCTCATGAGAAAGAAGCTCCCGCTCGACTCGGATGATTTGCTGCTCTGGCGGCTTCCGGCGAACCGGGATGATCTCAGGCCCGCTGAAATGTTTTCCCATGACGACTTGGAGCCAAAACTGTTGCTGAGAGAGCTTGAGCTGAGTATCAGCTGGGATAAGGACCGCGGTAGTCCGTCCGCTGATGGGCCCGTCGGCCCGGGGTCATCATCGGGGGCGTCGGAGTCCGCCGTTGGTATATCTGCTTCGAGTATTTCAAACCTGTCAGAGCTGTGATTGGAACTGGAGGAAAAGCGGGTGGCGGGTCTTTGCGGCGTGAGGATCGCAGGGCTGCCAACAGCCCATCTCCCTGACCCGCAACTTGTGGAGGAGAGCTTCTTCCAGGAAGAGCCGAGGCTGTTTGCACTTGCGACACTCCAGCGGAGATCAGGCGGTCGAGAAACATCGGCGGACACCTCTCTTGAAGAATTACAAGCCTCTGCGATGCACTCAGTGTCGAGAACATCCACGGTGGTCCCGAATGCTGTGATGCAAATCCCTGCTCCATCTACCTCCTCCTTCCCAGCCTTACACTTAGCGTCCGTGGTCTTACACAGTGACACGTGATACTTCTGAAATCTCTGCAGCACTCTGGAGAAGCCGTCCAAAGTTAAGCCGACCATGGTGTCATTCACGTCTCTGAAGCTATCGGGGATAAAAGAGCGACTGTCGGAATTGACGAACGGCTCCACGCGCAACTCCAGCTTGACTCGGGTCATCAGTCGCATGATTTCGGCACAAAAGCCGCCCCTGTCCTGGGTGTCCGCGTGGGAGTAATCGTAAAAACGAGCCAAAGCTTCTTGGCAAGCCCGCGTCGCCCCCGTCACGTCCTCGGAGGCTGCGGCGAGCCATTTGTGAGTGACGACGAGCGAATAAGCCGCCTTGATGAAGGTGTGCAGCTCCTGCTTGCTGGTGACATCGTCGCCCTCGGTTTTGCTGAGGAGGCCCACTTCAAAGGCCTCCTTGGCCTGTTGGAGGTAGAACGCCCTCTTTGCTGGGGGGCACGCCACGGAGAAACTGTACGACAACAAGCAGGTCCCAAGGGCGGTCTACAACGGGAGGAGGGATAAGCCTCACCGGGTCTTAAGCACCATCTTGTCAATAAAACCTACCACATTGGTCAGCACATAGAGCGACGTGTATTGGCTGTATACCACCGCCATTTTGGCCGCCTTAGCTGCCAACAAAAGGCGATGGGTTGCGTCGCCGAGCAAAGTCTGCGTACATGGAGAAATGCTCACAGTAAAACTGGTCCAATTCCTTTAAAAAAAAAAAAAAAAATCAGTCAGGAGTTATACTCACTAAATCAATGTCTTGGGTGGTCTTAAAAGCATGGAAGTCCTCATCATTCATGGACAGCAGGATGTTCGCGAGGATGCCAAGAGAGGTGCCGATACCCTGTGAGGTCAACGCAAGTACAGGGGTCAATTATGGCGCGCAAAGCGAATTCTAAAAGGGCCACCAGGGTCACCTTTTTATCTGGCTGAGGCAGCGTGTAGTACCCAACCAGAGAAGCCCAGATGAGCTGCGCGGCCTCCAGCCACAGGCCTGCGAGCACATTTACATGGCAGAGGTGTCAAAATGAGGCGACTGACACACAGCGGGAGAAAAGAATCCGACCTAGTTTTTGCAAAACCATTCCGCGCACTTGCAGGCTGACGGCCTGCACAAGAGCACGGTCACTTTCCGAATGGTACACCCAACATCCTGCCAAAAGATGGAGGAAAAAAAACAAAACATTGATTCAGTTTATACGGGGGCTGCGTTATCAGACATTAAATGCGCGTTCACCCGTGGTCCCGCTGTTGATGATAAGATGGCTCAATATGTGCTCGGCCTTCTGCAGTTTGCCTAAAGGAGAGACGATGATTTCAGTTATTCAGCATTTTTCAACTGCTTGAGTACAGCCAAGTCCCATTCACCAAAATTGAAGTACACCCGGGCCTGTCGTATGATCAGCTGAGGGGCCACCGGGGCGTCTGGGTAGCGTTTATGAAGCAGCTTGCAGATCTTCAACAACTGCCCTGACTCGTCTGTCCAGTAGAGAAAGCGGTCCACCAAAAAGATCACCGCGAGAGCCGCCTGCGCTTCCTGGGCCATGATCGCGGCCTCCAGGACATTCTGGTGACATAGCAAATGTGGGCAAAGTCAAGGGCCTGTCTCACTGGCGCGGAGAAGTGTTGGCGATCTGAGAACGACTGGTCGCGGGGACGTCTCCGTGCTATTCTTTTTGAGATTAGCCGCGTAGGTAGGAAGTCGCGGTAAGTGTCACGGGGACTAATTCTGTTTGTAACATGGGGGAGAGGACTCAGCGAGATCTCTGCGACATCTCCGAGACCTACTGGAGACCAAATCGCTCCATGACTTCACAGCAACATCTACACGACAACACATGACCCGCGAGACCGCGTGACCGATAATTATGACACCTTCACTCGGGTTCAAATTAGTTTCCTGAGATGTCACAATAGAAAGCATGCAACATTTTGAGTCTCCTGAGTCACCGCGACCGATCAGATCGTTCGCTGCAATTGCAGTGAGAGACAGAGTCACAACGTGCGCCCATCACCAGGAGCTGAGGTAGATGCTGTCCGACGAGCTCGCTCGAGTTGCTCTTGTCATCGGAGCTGATGGCCTGCTTGTACTGCCACTTCTCAGGCACAAAGGGCCACCTCATTTCCAGGGCCTCCCGCAAAAGCAAAGTCAGCTCCACACACAGGGAATCTGCAACACGAACACAAGCACGTCATCAGTCGCGGCTGTGATGGAACAGCGCCCTCTTGTGTCAGACCTCTGACACTGCAGTAGTTGTGCCTCACGGCCTCAGTGAGTTGAGTGGAGGCTTTTGCCTCTGCCGCCCTGAGGCATTTCTCCAGCAAACTTCCCGCTTCCCGGTTGGCCATTCTGGAAAAATCGATCAACACAGAGCCATTATATTGTTGTTTTACAGCTCACATATTCAAAGTCATTTCGGGTCGCGTTACCTAAGTCCAATAAGTTAGCGACTACCTACTAACGAAGGGAGGTAGTCGCAGTAGGTGTCAACTTTCTAGTTCAGGGCGTACTCTGGCATGATACGTTCAAGGAAATCGGAAAGATTACTACTCTACAAAAGGAGCGTTTGGAAAACATCTCAGCCTGCATTTCGATTCAGTCTGCTTCATCGTGGGGATATAAACGTCCATTTGGTGTTGGATTCATGTATTATCAGTTGATGAGCTTGACAGCGGCGCGTGACGCGCGAGCACGCAGCGGCCGCTCAACGCGGGGTGTCTCCGTGACGCCACCAAGAGGCGGGACCGCGGAGCTGCAGTGCGAGTCTCACACAGCTGGAAGGGAGCACCTGGCATGCTGACCAGATGACTGCAACGACCGACACGCATCCTCGTGAGAAGTCGCTGCTTTAGCACCAAGGGATAAGAGGCAGTCAAATGGAAACGTATCCGCTTTGGCAATTGCAAAACACACGTTGCTGGGACTTCTGATAAGTTCTCATTTCGAGCGCCGTTTTTTTTTGGTTTGTTTTGATAGGGGGAGCTAATGTCCCTCCTCACTTCACAGTGGGCAGCAGTGTTCCAGTTGCATGGGAAGGGCATGGGAACCGTTCTCCTGTAAAGGTAAGAAATGTGCACAGTCGCTTTTCTTATTCCTCGATAGCACTTTTTGGCTGTAACCGCGACGTGACGCGTTTGTACGGCGATTTACCCAACTGAAGCTGCCGCGTCAGTTAGAGTGGGAAGAAATTGGGGGTTTATCAATCGGCACCTGATATGGTGCCTAATGAAGAAGCCGAGCGGTTAATTCAGCAACCAGTCTTGCTACTTTGAACCCAACAGCCGATTGGTGTGTTGGTTGCCACTGCTTTGCACAAGCACAGCTGGTGATAAAAAAACAAAAACAAAAAAAAAACACTGACATTCCATGCATACACGAGAGGATGGAGGAATGCCTGCGCCGAAAATAGACGTAGTTTGTAAATGTGATTTGGACGTGTTAGGGAACTCCCTTGTAACTTCTTCGCCACCACTTGCCTGCACCCTCATGACGGCTCCGTGAAGCAGGCTGCAGGTGTCTTGGCCCAGTGGGGATCTGAAAACAAATTTGGGTGCCAGGCCTGATGATGACTTCAGTTGCAACGTCTTTGCTCACAAATGTATGCGTGTTTGTTTTTTTGGAGTCAGAGCAGACGGATTTAGGCACTAATCTGCAGCCTTAAAGTCTTAGCAGATGTCAGGAGGCATGACTACAGAGAGGAAAAAAAAAAGACCCTTTTCTGGCATTTTGTAAACCAGATGCTCTTATTTTGGACGATGGTTCATGAGGACGGATACCATCATACCGTTTGTGTACTGACAAAGATGAATGAATCAATCCTAAATTGATTTCATGAAGCATTTCCATCTACGAGATCACAATATAGCTGAAGCGGCGGCGTCTCCAATCTTCTTTTCATCTTCCTCCCGTCAAGTGCTGCAGTGCAGCTACTTCAGGCCACCCTTGACATGAACATCGTCTTGCGGCTCACCTCCTCCGCCTCCACCTGCGTCCACGTTGCACTTATATATCAGGCGCTCGGGCCCCTAATTGGCTCCATTGTTGAAGCGCGGATGCCTGATGCCAGAAAATATTAGAGAAGGAAGAAGAAAGGATGGAAGGCAGACATAAGACACAATCAGCTCATTCCTTGACCTGATGGGATCTTTTCCTTTCAGTCCGCCTTTCGTCAACAGGCTTTGGAATCGCTTTATCAAGGCACTTTGCCTCCTCACCGTTAACAAGACGAAGGGAAACAAGGAAAGCGGGTGAGGTGGAACTCGGGGAGCCATAAAATCAAGCCGTGGTTAAAAAGGATGTGCCTAATTGCTGGACGGGTAGAATCACGCAGCCCGAGTTCAGTGAAGTCAGAAAAGTGCGACTGATGCGAAAGTACAATGGCTGGCAGTTCTGAGGTTTGTGGTCGGCTCAGTTAATAAGGTTCGAGAACATAAACAGGAACTTAGGCGGAGCTGAAATGAATTTTCAGGCGGTATGCAGGTGGGTCGGGTGAAGTGAAACTCAGAATTCAAACCCCACCCAACTGCAGCACTGTAAAAAAGAAAAAAAAAAAAACGTGGGTGGACTCGAGGCAACAAACGTCAATAACATTCAAGCAAATATTTCAAGTTTTGGCTTTCCCGTGCTACGCTAGGCCATTGTTGCCATAAATGTTCATATGTTACATTTCAAAGTTGTTCCAACATAGATGACTGCTTGAGCCTGCACCCCAAAAATGCAAAATGCAAGTTTTGTTTTTCGCCGCGAGGAGGAAATGAAGTGCGGCTCAACAGTGTCTTCGCCTGTTACATGCAGATAAACGTAAAACTGGAGCAGTAGATGCGCAAGCCGCATTGAAAATAACACTTAACGGTTTATTCAGAGATTTATCTCTCTGCGTGAAGAGCTTATCCAAGCAAAAAAAAAAAAAAATGGCAAGGAAACAGAGGAACTAAGATAAGCAAAGCCGCCACCGGCCCGCTTTGCAATTCACTTGGGATCCATAATTCTTAATGGCTGTCCCAAAAAAAAAAAAAAAAAAAGGCAACGACGAATATCTGTCTGTGGAATTTGTGGATGCCAGCAGAAACAGGAAGTGACTTTGATGGATTCAGCATTGCCAAGCAAGCAGAAGATGAGTGAAATCTTCAACAGAGTCAAAAAAATAAATAAATAAATCAAGAAAACCAACAACTTAGTTGCAATTGCATATTTCATCTTTGTTCTTGTACTCCCAGTGCAGTCAGGGTTTCACAAAGGAAGTTGTGTGATCAGAAAGAGGAAGTGAGAACGCAAGTCTTTAAATTGCATCCATTCTAAGTGTGTCAACACACACACACACACACACACACACACGGACGCACCTTTCCTGTGTTTGTTGTGGAGCAAGCGGTCACATCTGGCCAAACGACAGACGTTTGAGCAGGAAGCGGAAAACAAAAGCGTCGCAGAGCCTGACACAGTGACCCATTGTTAGCGGCGCATTGTCGCAGGCTTTCGCACTTTGGATTTGGAGGCGCACGCTATATTTTGCGTTGTCCGCTCGAAGGAAAGCCTCTCCTTTCTCAAGAGCACTTTGAAACTGTCATTCATGCCTTCGTCACATCTTGGCTGGATGACTGTCATGCACTTCACTTTGGAGTCAGCCAATCCTCCATTCAGCATCTCCAGTTGGTCCTGAATGCTGCTGCCGCTCGCCCCTTGACTGGTACTCGTAAGAGGGAGCACATTTTAGAGTTCTTTTGAAGATCCTGTTATTTGTTTTGAAATCTTGAGGTGGCCTCGCTCCACCTTACCTCTCTGAGCTCCTCCGCCCCTGCCCGGCGCCTCGGGTCTGCGGACCAGACGTTGTTCGAAGTACCAAGAACTAAGCGGAGGCTCAGAGGGGATCAAGCCTTTTCCGTTGCTGGATGACCTCCCGCTGAACGTTCGGCAAGCCCCCTCCCTGCCAATCTTTAAAGCTCGTCTTAAAACTCATTTTTGTAAACAGCGGCGGTTGTTTGAAAGTGCTCCATAAATACAGTTCGGCTGAGTTGAGCTAAAGTCTCCGGTCAAGTAAACATCAGATGCTCATTGAATATAGCCCGCCACCGCGAGTTAGAATGAATTGTAGACCGCCATAAAAATGACAGTAAGCGCATGCATCGTCTTGCTGACCCGTTTACGGCCTCAACTGACGCAGTCGCTATGCACGCACAGCGGCGAAAGCTAACGCCCGTAAATAGCCAGCCCTTGATGACTTCCGTGTCACTCAACAGGCCAGGCCTGCCTTTTAACGCCATCCCAAATGTCTTCGTCATCCAACACCGGCGACCAGATCAACATCTGAAATTGAGGGGGCGGGCCAGAGGGGGTTGAGGCAAATCAATAGCTGCACACATGAGCATAATCTCGAGGAAATGAGCCCATTATGGGTCATCAATCAATGCGAGTTTCGATCTGTCTCGTGGAGCTAGGAAGTCATTTGTTGGTCTCTTTAGAAAAGAGAATACAAACTGGTGAAAAAGTATTTTGGGAGGGTGGGGGGGAGGAAAGCCAGCAAACCAAGGGGTGATGTGACATTTTGCAGCCACGTCGCAGATGGCGCACAGCCAGAACGGGCCCGTCAAGCTGCCCTTACTCCCCATGCCGCCGCTCTCTATAAGCTAGCGGATCGAAGGGCTTGACTTGCCATCGCCAGGCAACCACGCATGACACAAAAAAGCTCCCCCGGTGTGCGCAACCTGGCAAAACCGAGGGGCAGCGACTGAGGGGAAATACACGAAACGCCGCGTGGAGACAAAGAGCAAAAGGAGATTGTGGAGTGCGCTCATTTTTTAGGACAGTTTGTTCTGTGGAAATGACGTCAATTTTCAGCTCCCATCCACTGTTGCAGCAATGACCTGACCTGAGACGCTGACACTCTGCCGCCTTGCGTTTTTGACAACACCACCAATATATATCGGGACACTTCATGTTTTCCATTGTAATGTGAATGATTGGTTTTTCTGACCTGCAAAGTCAGTACAGTGGTACCTCTACTTACGAAATTAATTGGTTCTGGAAGAAATTTCTTAACTGGAAAATTTTGTCAGTAGTAAGACACGTTTTCCATGTAAATGCCCTAATCCGTTCCAAGCCCCCCTAAAATTCAGACGTAAATGTTTCCTAAAGTATAAAAATGCACCAAGATATAAAACAAATACTTGTTACAATTAGACGATTGCCCTCTTTAGTTCATGTTCCCTCTCAGAAGTGGTTTTTGCCTGACGTTTTGTCGAGAACTGATCCAAGGACGTTTGCTTTTGTCGGCTTGGAACAATCCTTTGAAAATATCCAAGGCAAACATCAGCGTAGTGAGCGATCGCCCGACTGGTGAACACTTTTTTTTTCCTGGGTGATTCACATTTACGTAAAACTATCGTAACGCCTCATGGCTGAAGCGGCGAATGATGAGGACGCTGCCAAAACACATATCTATCTATCTATCTATCTACACACATAGACACGTAAAGTAGAGGTCCCTCTTAGCCAATGGGATGCCAGGAAGATCCTCGGGAATAGCCAATGGCAGAGCAGCTATAAGTATGTTGCGTTCAGGAAAATTCGGAGCTGCGAGTAACGGCCATACGGTATTTTTACCTTTCGTATCTTGAAATTTCTTTCGTAACAAGGGGCAATATTTTCCTGTTGAGGCGTTTCGTAACTTGAAAATTTCTTATGAGGAGACGTTCGGAAGTAGAGGTACCACTGCATACGTAAGTGACTTTGAAAAGATATAATCAGCTACGTCGGGGTCCATTAAATGGTTCCATGGCGTATATGAGTTTATTGGCTCTTATAGGACAAAAGGCTCTTCCTTACAATGATTTGCCCGCAGAGGCGAGGCCGGGAGCCAGTGAAGCCTGTAATTGAGTGTGTCCGCCCACTGCTTTGCAGCAGAGACGGCACAGCGGACTCTTTCATCGCTCCACGCGCGCACCCACGTGTAGAGGCCGGTGGGGGGGGGGTGTCGTTGCATCCGCAACTCACAAAGTCAAAGAATGTATATTCAGGATTGACACTGTGGTTGCCAAGGTTCCCTCCTCTTGAAGATACCCGTACATGTTGCAGAATCGTATTGTGCACGTTTGCTAATATGACGTATGATGACTTGTGTTGCATACCGCAGCTGCGTTGGAGCAACAAGATAATCCACTGTGGTTTCCCGTCATTGGCTCTGGTGGCTATCACTTTTGACCGACGAGCCACAGTGGGGTTCACGTTGCGAAAGTGGCCGCAAGACCAAGGTTCATTATAATTAGCGAAAATTAAAATAAATAAAATACAATAAAAACAAAAAGGCTAAAAAAAAAAAAAAAAAAAAAAACCAACTCAAACTTGTGTTTTTAAAACAAACAAAAAAAAAACGAACATCTCCTTCGACACACATTGCATTTTGCTCTACGTCCGTACAAAAGAAGCATCTTGAGAACTTTAGTTGACTTTATCTACACAATAATATGTGACCTTTTTTATCTCACACTCTACAAATACTCCATATGTTTAAGAAAAAAAAAACTAAAACTAATACTAAAACTAAAGCAAAGGGCTTTTAAAAAACAAAAAAACTCAACTGCTCTGAAAACTAATCAAAGCCAACGGGAAAAAAAAAAAAATCATGAAAAGTCCCAAACGATTCTAACCCTGCACACCGCCAAAGTTATTGAAACTCTTTTTGTGTACAGCGTGAGACGGCACGTGAGCTATCTGGGAAGGAACCGAGACAGAGGACAGTTATGGAGCCCGCCACGTGTGAGCAGTCCACCACAGTGGACGACTTGGTGGAGGCGTGCATCCAAGCCTTTGGTTTGTCGTTGTCGCCATTTCTTTATTGACAATCTTTGGTGTCAACATGCAAAATATTCTTTTGGGGTCTTTTTTTTTTTTTTTTTTAAGATGAGAAGGGGGCGTTGGTGGACCCTTCCCTGGTGCGCATGTTCCTTATGATGCACCCTTGGTACATCCCGTCGACTGACATGGCTGCCAAGTTGGTGCACAAGTATCCTCCATTTTGATTGAAGTGGGTATCAAAAAAAAAAAAAATGGAGAAAGCTCAAAAGCTTTCATGGTAGACGGTTTCCCCTTGACTCTTTTGCCAGATGTCAAGAGGAGGGCTGCACGGCGGAGCGTCGGAGCAGAATATGCCACCTTGTCCAGTAAAAAAAAAAAAAAAAAAAAAAAAAGTCTTTCATTCACATGACTGGCGGTCTTTTGCAAAAGAGTCACACGGCGTTTTACGCTCGACAGGTATTGGATCTCAGAGTTTCCTGCCGAGTTCAACCTGAACCCGGAGCTGGCCGAGCAGATGAAGGGCTTTAAGGACCTCCTTAGCACGGAGGGCAACGAGCGCCAGAGCCAGCTCATTGACATCGAGAGCGTGTAAG